CCTGCAGCCCATGGAGGACCCCACGCCAGAGCAGGTGGATGCCCGAAGGAGGCTGTGACCCCATGGGAAGCCCGCGCTGGAGCAGGCTCCTGGCAGGACCTGTGGACCCATGGAGAGAGGAGCCCACGCTGGAGCAGGTTTGCTGGCAGGACTTGTGACCCTGTGGGGGACCCATGCTGGAGCAGTCTGCTCCTGAAGGACTGCACCCCATGGAAGGGACCCACACTGGAGCAGTTCGTGAAGAACTGCAGCCCATGGGAAGGACTCACGTTGGAGCAGTTCGTGGAGGACTGTCTCCTGTGGGAGGGACCCCACGCTGGAGCAGGGGCAGAGTGTGAGGAGTCCTGCCCTGAGGAAGAAGGAGCAGCAGAGACGTGTGATGAACTGACTGCAACCCCCATTCCTCATTCCCCTGCACCACTCGGGGGTAGGAGGTAGAGAAATCGGGAATGAAATTAAGCCCAGGAAGTCGGGAGGGGTGGGGGGAAGGTGGTTTTAGATTTCTTTTGTTTCTCATTACCCTACTCTGATTTCATCGGCAATAAATTAAATTATTTTCCCCATATGCTTGTGACAGTAACTGGTGAGTGATCTCCCTGTCCTTATCTGAACCCACAAGCCTTTCATTGTATTTTCTCTCCCTTGTCCAGCTGAGGAGAAGTGCTAGAGAACAGCGTGGTGGGCACCTCGCATCCAGCCACGGTCAACCCACCCCACATGGCAAAAGCATCTCTGGGCTTTGATGTAGAAACATCTCGAGTCAGTGAGAGTGTCAAGTGACAATTTGTATTCACCAAGCAAGAAGGTTCTCATTTAGGGCTCTGAATCAAATTTTAATAGAGCAGAGAAGTTTAAGAATCTAGTGTAGTAGTTATGGCTGCATATAGGAAAGTAACTTACTCTTAAGAGAGGTCTTCAAATCAGTCATCCATCAATGAATCTTTTTCATGTAAATCCATGAGGAAAAGTGACTAACACCCTTCTTCCCATTACCTTTTCCTCTTAGAGCATCTCATGACATGTTAAAACCCTCTCCTATTTCCAGGGGTCACAATAATCTAGCAGGTGTTGTTTGCTAGTGTCATTGGGGAAAAAGTAACTGGACTGGTCTCCATAGTACCCTCACAATACAGCAACAGAGGATGTAATATTAATTTATAGGTAAAGTAAAATTAGCACCGCTTTATGCTATTACACTGGATGGTAGGAACAGCTAGGGGGTCAGAAAGTGTGGAGGACCTTGTCCAGCTGTTCCTGCTGTGGAGTCAACAGTTTCACACTGACAGAGGTATAGCTCAACCACCCTATTGGGTTTGCCAGTTCACACACACAACCTATCTAAAAAACAGGTACTGTTATTCACATGTCTTTGCAGGGTGTACAATGGTACTATAAGTCTAAATTACCTTTGAGGGGCTAGTTAGTTACCCATGGCTTGCTATGCATTCAATAGCTGTGTTAGGTCTTGTCATCCTTTCAATACGAAACCAACACAGATGAAATACTGCTCCACAGCAATAAGCAAAATTCCCACTTAGAAGCTGACAAGGGTCCTTTTTTCTTTCTAAACTCTGGCATGCAGTTGCACTTTTAGAGCTAGACATACCAAAGCTGATCAATCTTCCACCACCACAGTCACCTGAACACCTGCCTTTGAGAAACCTTCATCTGATACACTTCTGTCTAAAAAGTGAGACTTGCTACACTGCATGGGTCTGAAGGATGCAAAAGTCAAACATACTACAGACTGAGGAGCTAACTGGTAGCAGCAGCAGCAAAGGGCTAAGCACTTGCCGTTAAAGCATTATATCATGTTTGCAGGTCAGTGTAACAGGCTGCTCAGAACAAAAATCCCACGCTACACAAAGATCACGTAAGACTTTGCAAAGCAAAGGCTTTCATTCCCACCCATAGGCAGAATACCTGCCATACCACTGTCCCAGCTGTACTATGGCTCAACAAGCCCTGAGTGCCTTGCTGGCCTGTTTTAAGATGCTTTGAGCCATTATTCTCACTGAGAGTAAAACCAAAAAGACACATTTATGATTACTTTGTCCAACATTTAACTGTTTCCCAGTATATCACCAAAAACCAGATTTCAGATCCACTCCTGAGCCCTGGGAATACATGGATGCGTAGTATGCACAAAATGTATTTTAACAGCTTCACCATAAATTACTTTCACTCTTAGAAGGAACAGCTGAAAGCAGAGTCAGTACAGTCTACTAGTTACATGCTAAGGGAACAGCAGGGCAGTATTTCTTTTTGTTTAGAAACAGCCCAAGTAGAGACACGAAAGTATCCAAAAGCATTAACTATACTAAAAATGTAAGAAAGTGCAGTCAGGTGCACTCCAATTTCAAACCTGGCTGAAAATTTCTTCAGTGATCTTGCACAAGTTGATACGATAACTGCTAATCCTTCAGTACTGACAAAGCAGTAGGGCGCTTCTGGAAATTCATGATGAAACCAAAGGAATCACAGTAAGAACAGCTTCAGAAGTGTTCGGGTTTTTAGTATTTTCTCTTCAAGACATCTGAAAATCCTCTAAACTCTTTAAGTGATTACTGTGTGCAACACTACTCTGTTGCAATCACTTTTTTAAAGCTGAGTCTGAAAGCTAGCTGAGCAGCCCAGTAACACACCATGCAGGGTACAAATGCATCATCAATTCGTAATTCATGCCTACCCACAAGCGACTTACTTCTCTATCATACTACCTACCATTTGTTGTTTACAACAGCTTTCCACACCAAACTGCCCAGAACATTCCAAGCAACTTCTGCCTCAACTACAGCAGACCTCCAGTCCCTTTGTGCCTTGGCAGTATGGGTGCTCTGGACTTGGGAGTTTCTTTTTGCCAAAGAAGCGATGGCCCACTGAACAACCAATACTTCTGCAGGCCTTTCAGTGCCACGCAGCAGTGAAAAATGGCTAAGAGTGGGAATCCCTCTTTAACTATTCCCTCCCAGAACAGCGCATAAAGCCGTTATTCAAGTTACTATCTTTGAGATAAATCCTGACTCTCCATGCTAGGGCAGAATGAAACTCAGGAGGCAAGGAGGGCAAGTCCATAGTGCCAATATTCCATTTATCTTGCAGATGTGTTCTTTGAGTAACACATACAAGCCTCTTTTTAAGTTCAGTGCAGAGATAATGGTCCGCTTCAAGGCAGAGGTGCTATCAAATGAAAAGTTAATTAAAGGACTGTTTTTAATGAATCGTTTCAATGCATACCATCAAGAAACTGTGTGTAAATGTAAGTATTTTCAGGAATCCTGCATTTCACTGAAGTAAAAAAAATGTATAAAAGGTGACAGATTTTCTGAATAAGACCATTTATTTTAACAAGTAGATGAGTCTTTACGATGAACTGGAGGCTGCAACAGCTGCTCTCTTGGGCTTCGGTGTGGTTCCCTCACGGAATCCATTCCTACAAGTAGAAATATGGTCACCATTTTTTGAAAGGATGATTCCTGCTCCAGGTTATTTTGTGACAAGTAGTGCTTTAGATCAAGTTCACCAGCTTTTTTCAGCTTATCTCAGTAATACACTGAAATCACTACGAAGTTCATATGATCCAACATTTTTAATAAGAAACATCTTATTAACAACTGTTTGGAATAAGCAGTATGGTTTTTGCTCTCTTGTGCTGAAGTAAATTTGACTTCTTCGAACAGGAAGATTTCAGTAACCGCGTCAACACTGCAAGACTGCATCAGATGGAGCACACCTTACTTCAGGCTCCTACTAAGCAACTGAGCTTCGTAGGAAGATTTCATGTTTGTGAAGCGCAAATCAATTTCTTACAGAAATCCTCTACGCTTCCCATCAGAGATTAAGACGGGCACGACAAGAGAAGAGTCAGGCCCAAGCTCACTTTTAGGTATGACACTTCTACTTCAGCAACACTTGGTGGAAAGCAGGCTACAGCTGCACACTGTCAGGTGTTTTCTGGCAGTCGCTGGGAAAGACTGCGCTCACTAAAATAAACAGATGAATGGATCCCTCAACTACAGCCACATCTGGGACTTAAAAAGACTCCTACTTTTCACTATTAAATCCAATCTACATTTTTACACCAAGACTCTTGAATTACTTAGTATTTTTCATCCAGGTTTCTTGTTTATTAGGCCAGAAGCTGCACAGCTCCTATCTTACAACAAGGATGTCATACAGAAGAAATTCTTAATGAGTTTCACAGTACAATATCCCCACTGTTACCTCCTAAGTACAACTCAAAGCTCTGTTACAAGTTTTAGAAACCCGTAACTCAGAATCTGATATTATAGCTACTATTACTAACAGAACTCCAAACAGAGTGACTACTGAAGTTATTCCAGTCCTGAACATTTTTTTTTGTGGACAAAAGGGGACTGTAATGCATTTCAAGACTTGTCTCTTACAAAAACCCACACTTCAGTGCAACTGGCAATTTAGTTGACTCACAAGTAGAGGCAACACTACACAAAGCATATCTTTTTAAATGTGGGCATTTTATTACAATACTCTTTCTGTTCTGTACTATCTACACTTAACAGAAACATCAGAGCTTGTTATACACCCTCTGTATTAACAGCCAGTGAGTGTTTTTATCCTCAAAGGAATATACAGCAAATTACATAAGGCATCCTTTATTTCATGCTATATTTGAGAAAGACCACACCACATTAAGTGTACTAAGATAAATAAAAATGTTAACTTTGAACGATAAATTTTATAATGAAGTGACATCCATGCAGGATTTCACACCACACAAGTTTGTATTAAAATGTTATACCTGAATCGACGGTAGACCTTTTTCAGGTGCCTCATGCGACCAGTACCAGTGGTGTTGCGTCTTTTAGCCTTTGCACTCCAGTTATCTAAGACATACAAGTTACTGTTACTCATCCACAGCAAATAATTAAGTTGCACATTACATTTGTATAGCACAACTATTCAATCTGACAGAAGCAAAAAAATAATTACAAATTAAGTCAATTTCTATGTAGTAATACTGCATGTTAAATAAAATATAGTTAAATCCGCATTAGTTTTAAAAAAGCTCTGAACACTGCAAGATAACACAGTGTTCTTCCTTGGTTGGAAAAAAGTCAGACTATTGAAAAAGACAAAGAAACACAAGTTTTTAAACTCAAGTCAGTCAAAAGTTTGTTACTTACACTTTCTCTTACGCTTAGCAGGGTAACCACATTTCCCACAGGTAGATTTCTGCAAATGGTATGCCTTGGACCCACATCGACGACACAAGGTGTGTGTCTTATTCCGTCGCTTACCGAATGACGAGGTACCCTTCGTCTGAAACGCATTTCAAGATATGACATGTTGGAAATATCACTAGCACTTGCAAGTCAGGTAACTAAGAGAAGAATTAGCCCCCTTAAAAAACACGCACAAATGCACAAAGTACAATAAACACATCAGAGGCACGCTGAAGTCCGACACACCAACTCAGTGTCGCCTACAGGTATACTCCATTTTTAGGTACAATTTCCTTACACCTCTCGTCGCCATTTCTTATCCTCCCCCTACCCGCCCCGCCGCCCTGTGCTGAAATAAAACGAAACCACCGCGTGGTTATCTCCAGCTCCCTTCTCATCGCCCCCAAACTCATCACTGATAAATAGAAAACCGCTTTTTCCTGAAGAAAGGTTATTCGCTCCACGCAGACCAGCCGCACACTCACCACGGGAGGCTTTGGCGACCGAACCCCCTCTTGCTACCTCA